TGATCGAATGTGGGCATATTCCAAATACGAAAATTTTGGTGTGAAATGGGATATTTTACTTCATAATACGAAGGTAGGATAAACATTTTCACAGTAAGAATATTCTGACATTGCTTGGCTACTATTTTTCAATAATCATATAGCCCAAAATTGACCATGCATGCAATTAAAACAACTACAATTTGTAAAAAAAAAACACTACAATTTGCTCGACAATTTGAAAACTTCAATATATAACCGTTTTTGTGTTAACCAGCCGGCCTGCTCGGAATCCATTGAAAGTTCATTGTAAAATGTTTTTAACTAATTGATTTGATTTCTATTATTGGTATAACTGCCGCCGACACTCCAAAAATATTCAGCGTGAATCTTTTTTCGTGCGACTGCAGTCGTTGACATTGCAGTGACAGTGTTACGGAAAACTATAAAGGCTGCAAAATATCTCCAATTTATGAAAAAAGCACAAAAAAGCACCGTTCAATTTTACTTGAGACATAAAGCCAAGTTAAATGTCTATAGTTTGGTGTGTTCAAATTTATCTCAACTTATCTCAAAAAAGAAAAAATGTCGTCAAAATCGAGTTCAAAATGCATGTCTTTTCCTCAACAATCGCTTTATTCATTTTGCAAGTGAAATAGATACCAATTTTAACTATATAAGCTGATACTAGATCCTTCACTAAACGTTTATTGTATGTATTTGAGGCAGGAAGTGATTTCGTTCAAATGATAATTGAAAATTTGTGTTGTTTAAATATCGTCTTATCTGCATAAATAAGTATAGCACTCGCGAATCTATATATTGTCGTGTGGAGTATACGGAAAACTATAAAGGCTGCAAGATATCTCCGTTTTATGAAAAAAGCACAAAAAAGCACCATTGAATTTTACTTGAGACATAAAGCCAAGTTAAATGTCTATAGTTTCGTGTGTTCGAATTTATCTCAACCTATCTCAACGAGGAGAAAACACTATTTTAAACACGTCCGCGCTTTGACAAGAACGAAAAAATGTCGTCAAAATCGAGTTCGAAATGCATGTCTTTTCCTCAACAATCGCTTTATTCATTTTGCAAGTGAAATAGATACCAATTTTAACTATATAAGCTGATACTAGATCCTTCACTAAACGTTTATTGTATGTATTTGAGGCAGGAAGTGATTTCGTTCAAATGATAATTGAACATTTGTGTTGTTTAAATATCGTCTTATCTGCATAAATAAGTTTATTATACATTTATGATTTATATACATATGATTTTATATTTAACAAATATAAAACATTTTCCGTGTTGATATACAGTTATATCAACACGAGTGGAAATTGGGAAAACGAGAAATTGTGTGGAAACACGACGCCCGAAGGGCGGAGTGTTTTCATACAATTTCGAGTTTTCCCAACTTCCACGAGTGTTGATATAACTATATATCAATACGGAAAAAAGTTTTATATTTGTTTTATAATATAGCAATGTCAAAAGCCCGAAAAATAAGGAAAATTTCCGTGTTTACTAGCGGCGGAAAATTTCCCGTGTTGACATGGAGTTATATCAACACGGCTCTTAGCCAATCAGCGTTCAGAATTTACAAATGCTATATTATAAACATGTTTATTATACATATGATTTATTTATCATTGGATTCTGCTTTCGCATGATATCAAGAATTATTCAGACCTCGGTCTATTTTATCAGATAACATTGACCTCGGTCTGAATAATTCTTGATATCATGCTCAGCCTCATCCAATAATTGCTTAATAGCACTCGCGAATCTATATTGTCGTGTGGACTATACGGAAAACTATAAAGGCTGCAAGATATCTCCGTTTTATGAAAAAAGCACAAAAAAGCACCGTTCAATTTTACTTGAGACATAAAGCCAAGTTAAATGTCTATAGTTTGGTGTGTTTAAATTTATCTCAACGTATCTCAACGAAGAGAAAACACTATTTTAAACACGTCCGCGCTTTAAATTTTGCAAATATTTGCATCGCTTGAGTAAAATTTTTGCCCTGAAATTTTCTTTCAACGAGTGTTCAGTAACAAACAACACAAGCTATTACATGTGATATAACTTACTAAATAATATTTCAAATTTTAATTAACGAAACATAATTACTTAGCAGTTAAATCCTTTGTTTTCTCGTTTGTTTGTTTACATTTTTTGTTGTTGCCATTTTGTACGCGATTTTCTGATTTTTTTAGAGAAAGCGCGCTCGCGCCAATCCTAATGTGCATCACACATAGCACGGTCATTTATTAG